GGTAAGCCAATGCAAGTGGCAGGTGGTGGTGGGGACAGCGAACAGAAACACTGCATAAAAAGCAGCACCTGACATCAGGTCCTCCGAAGTCTACCTTCCTTCCATCGGTGTACATCATCTCCGAACATAGCCATGAATTCCTTGGTAACTCTCGTACTCCTCGGCCAGATTATAGGATGCACGTTTAGTGTTCTCTTGATAAAGGAATTTGATTGCAATGGAGAAGAGGCTAAAAAATTTGGAGATTTGGCCGTGGACTACATCAATCAACATAATCTACATGGATACAAACAAACTCTCAATGTAATAAAGAGGGTTGATTTCCTCGCCCCCCGGCCCCGGGTAAGTACAAAGGGAGGAAAAAATTTCTTAGGCTTATTTACTAAATCAATAACAGGTGATTTTGGGGTGTTATATTGTGCCAGTCAATTTCTGTAGCCTTCCTGCTAAGATTTGGGCCCCCTAAGCTCTAATTTTCTATTCTGGTTCTTCAGAAGGAAATATTTTCAGATTTCCGTTTGAAAGATGTATGTCAATGAGGGTTGGGTGCAAATGTGGCAATGCCATCCCGATATTTCTTCATCAGGGTCATACACTGATTATGTTTTGTCGAGCCTGTTCTTCTTTCAACAGATCTGAGTGAGGTTCACACCCAGGACTGGCACGGAGCTGGATCCTTAGGACCAACAAATTCCTTTTTGACAGTCCTCCCACGGTTTTATAATAAATAGGTCTGACACTAACTCAGACACTGGATGGAGGGTTACAATGTAAGCCACATCCCTTTCCTGCCAATGCAATGCACCTCAAAAGAGGCAGGACTTGTGTTCTGTTGCTCCTTCCACCATCTTGCTGATATTGACAATGCCCCCAACCCATCCCAGTGAACGCCAATACTTCTAACTGCTGCTTCTTTAGCTCAGATCCTTTTTTAATGATACGGCGACCACCGAGATCTACACCACACACACAACATGTTTAACCAGCACAGAGCATGTTGTTGTGATTGCATTTCGATATGCAGAACTTGGTGTGAGTACCGGTTAGATTTGTTGCGTCAACTCAGCCCCTCGGGTTATTTAATAGTTCAGTGTGTGATGGAAATCCAGGAAATGGTTCATTCTGCCAACTGGGTTAAGTGTTGTGTGAACTCTCCAACGGAGGAAAACGTTAGTTTCCTCCCAACCATCTGATCTTCATTAAACCCCTGTCCCAAACAATTGCCCTAAGTATCTGTAGGTAGACAGGTCAAGACTACCTGATGCCATTGTTTGGAGCCAAAATGCTGGTGGTTCAATAGACAATATGGACACAAGTGAACCATGCCATGTCAGAAAGAGGTAATTTCTTCCACCCAGACCTGGCCAAAATCAACAACTGGGAAATCAAGTGAGGCCTGCAAGAAAACCTAAGGTGTTCATGTCAGGATATGTCAGCCTTGTCCATTCCTGCCTTGCAACCTCCAAATGAACTGTGTTTAACTTAAGACAACACTGAAATTTCCTGTTGGGTGTATTTTCTTAAAAGCAGTTGATACTGAGAAGCACAGCAGGACAGATCTTTAACTTGGGTATCAATTCAAACATTTCCAAGAGTCAGCTGATGCAACAGAGACAGAAATGTGCAGGGAGAAAAGTCATTCTCATGCTAATTTTTCATTTTAGACACCCGTTGAGACGGTAGTCTCAGTTGAGCTGGATGTTCTGGAGACAACGTGTCACGTGTTGGATCCAACTCCTGTCGAGAATTGTACTGTAAGACAACAGGATCACCATGTAAGTGTCTGAAGGTTCTTGAAAATGCAAGACTTTGTGAGAGAACAGATGGCTTCTTACCACTCCATCAAGAGTAAATTGAGTTTCTGAACACACAAAAAAACTGATATATTGGTGAACAAAGGGTTAATGCACACGTCTCCAAACATGGCAACTTTAAGACTTGTGGACTTCAGCTTCCAGAATTCCTCAGGCAGCCATTCTGAGATCCCAGGGTTAATGAAACCTCAGTAGTCGCTAACCTATTCTATGGGCATCCGTTTTGAGTTCATGTTACATCGCCAGATTTCATTTCAACTCTGAGCAATGAATTAGTCAGGAATTAAGAAGTCAATTCTTCTTTCACATTCACCCTGTGATGTTCAAAGCTGAATTGTTCCCATGCCAGATACCATGAAAAGTGCCTTATTGCTCCTCTGCTTAAAACAGAAGGTATCCAACCACAGCAACTTTAAGATCTGTGGACTTCAACTTCCAGAATTACCCAGACAGCTATGTCCAAGGTTGGATGCCCTGGGTTTAGAGGTTAAGTAGAAGTTCTCATATTACAACACCTGCAAATATTTCAGCAAAGACACCAATAAGATAGTTTTGAAGCAAGTATGCATGTCAGGTTCAAAACCAAGAAAGACCCGCTAAGTTAGGACAAAGCAATTTTCCTTTATTCCTCCTTGCCTATAGAGAGAAATCATGCCAAACTAAAGCAAACTACTTGCATCATTAAATGTATACAGTAGTCTGATAACCAGGGGTGGGATTCAAAAGTTTTAACAATCGGTTCTGTGGGCGTGGCTTGGTGGTCATGTTATTGTCGGGGTGTGGCCAACTCAATGTCACTCACATTGAGGCACGCATCTCCTCCCCTGGCCTCCCATGACTGTGGAGATTCTGCAACAGTCGTAAGTGTGAAAAATGGTCACTTTATTCAGTGCCATTGTAACTTTGAATGGTCACTCCACATGCAAAGTACCAGCAAAGGAGGGGGGGAAAAAGTCCAGAGATGTTCCTGAGACAGGAAGTCTAGTCCTGCCAAGAATGTAATAAGGGTTAGTGTAGAGGCAGTTTCTGTGAGCAACACCAGAATGTTTCCTTCCTGCCTTCCTTACAGGATTAGGCCAGTAATTCCTTCTAACAACCGGTTCTCTGAACTGCTTAAAATGTTAACAACCGGTTCTAGCGAATAGGTGAGAACTGGTAGAATCCCACCCCTGCTGATAACTTCTAGGGAGGAGCTGTCTTGACCTATTTCTTCTCAACCAAACGTCTAAACTTTGCTGTCACTTGCTTCTCTGGAATGCAACGCCTCCCACCTGGGAATCCAGACTGCATTCCACCACAGTGCACTAGCTACCCTAGTGATGCTGCCTCACAAATTAGTCTAGCCAAGTTCCTAGTGCACTGTGCTCATTTTAATAATATCCTATCTATTAAGAAAGTGAAATACGCTCTAATCTGTAAATATGCTACAAAAGCAAAATGCCACTCACGCATCATCACAAAAACTCCAGAACCGTAAAGCCTACAAACTTGAAACTTGGCACTCATGTTCCTCTTAGCTTCTAGGTGCTCACTAAGAAAGGATTTTTGGAAATGACCACCAGGGCATTAGTGTTTCCTATATTATTATTAACATGCTCTGATGCTAAGGAGTTCTACTCCCCCTCCTTACCTGAAAAGAAATCTGTTTCAAATGCAAAATACAAGCAAAGGAGAGGAGTTTTAGCTTCAGTTTTAATTCCACAGCACCAAGCAGCTTTAGTACAGAACAGTTGAACTAAGCCAAGCCCAGGCTCCTTGCTGTCTCCTTCTTGCTCACGCAGCAAATACTGCTTCAGTTCCAAACAGCCCTGAACTCTCTCACGCACTGACAGGACACTAGCTGGGCAGATGAGTACAATGGATGCTGGTAGGCAGAGGCACAATTTTTCCCCATGATTTTCCTCCCCAAAATCTTGCCCAATCACATAGTTTCGTGGTGGAGCATGGGTACCCTGCTAGTGGACCATAATAAATCCTACTAATGCTATAAATCCCCCAGAAACACCAGTTTTAAAACACTAACCCAAATGGTTAATTAAATCATGTTAAGTTGAAGTTTAACATGTTTAATTTGATGCCTTTGTATCTCCAGGCTGTTAAATCAGAATGTGTTGTCAGGATCCACAGAGAGAACGGCGACAAAGTGTCTGGCGCAAACTGCCACTCAAAACCAGGTAATTAATCTTCATCATTCTTGGACTCTTAGCGGAGTTGGGTTCAAGAAATTAAGAGTTGAGCTAACCACTGGCATCTTGTCATTTCTCATACCATCCCCTGGAGTTCTTTTAAGCTTGCACTGACTGATTCAGTGAGTCCATCCAGCCCCCTCATTCTCTGTTGTCCCCTTCTTCTTCTATTGCCCTCAACCGTTCCCAGCATTAGGCTCTTCTCCAGGGAGTCCTTCCTTCCTTCTCATTAGGTGGCCAAAGTACTTGAGTTTCATCTTCAGGATCTGGCCTTCTAAAGAGCAGTCCGGGTTGATCTTCTCTAGGACTGACCGGTTTGATCGCCTCACAGTCCAAGGGACTCGCAGGAGTCTTCTCCAGCACCAGAGTTCAAAGGCCTCCATTTTTTGGCACTCAGCCTTCCTTAACGTCCAAATTTCACAACCATACATTGCAACTAAGAAAACTATAGCCCTGACTACATGAACTTTTGTTGGCAGGGTGATGTCTCTGCTTTTTAGTTTGCTGTCTAGATTTGCCATAGCTTTCCTCCCCAGGAGCAAGTGTCTTTTAATTTCTTGGCTGTATCCTCATCTGTGGTAATCTTGGAGCCCAGGAAAATAAAATCTGTCACTACCTCCATTTCTTCCCCATCTATTTGCCAGAAATTGAGGGGACCGGATGCCATGATCTACTTCCTGGTTATTGGAAAATTGCTATGGAAAATTTCCAATTTAGTTTGCATTTAGGGTATTCCCAATCCATCTCGTTATTTAGAACAAGAACAGTCAAGGGTCTGAATTGTGATCACATCACCACGGGGATGCTGCCACGGCCATAAGTGCGGAAAATGGTCCTAAGTCACTTTTATCAGTGCTTTTGTAGCTTTGAACGGACACTCAGCGAATGGCTGTAATTGAGGCGCTTGGCCATTGTCTCCGATTTATGACTATTGCAGTGTCCCAGGATCACGTGACTCTCTTTTGAGCAAGCCAAGTCAATGGG